CAGTGGCTCATGCCTGTAATCCCAGCACTTTGTGAGGCCAAGGCAAGCGGATCACTTGAGGTCAGGAGTTCGAGACCAGCCTGGCCAATCTGGTGAAACCCTGTCTCTACTAAAAATACAAAAATTAGCTGGGCATGGTGGCAGGTGCCTGTAATTCTAGCTACTCGGGAGAATGAGGCAGGAGAATCGCTTGAACCCAGGAGGCAGAGGTTTCAGTGAGCCAAGATCACACCACTGCTCTCGCCTGGGCAACAGAGCAAGACTTCATCTCAAAAACAAACAAACAAAAAAACAAAAAACAGAAAAAAAAAAAAAAAGAACCACTTGTACATAAGCCATTCATAATAACCACCAGAACCTATTGAGTCTTTACTCTGTGTGAGCCATTGTACCTTATGCACTTTTCTCATGTATTTCTGACCGCATCAGGAAGATACTTTTGTCATCTCCACTTTAAGGACAAGCAAAATGGGGTCCCAGAGCCTTTTTTTTTTAAGTGAATTGTTATTCAAAGCCATGTTGCCTAATCCAAACTCACTTAGCCACCACACTCTACTGTCTCTTCTCCAAAAATCTCATATTAAAATGATTTTTAATGTGTGTTTAGAATATTCCAGCTAAGGCCAGATGTGGTGGCTCACGCCTGTAATCCCAGCACTTCGGGAGGCCAATGTGGGCAGATCACCTGAGGTGAGGAGTTCAAGACCAGCCTGACCAACATGGCAAAACTCCATCTCTACCAAAAACACAAAAATCAGCCACATGTGGTGGCATGCGCCTCGAATCCCAGCGACTCAGGAGGCTGAGGCAGGAGAATCGCTTGAACCTGGGAGGCAGAGGTTGCAGTGAGCCGAGATTGCGCTACTGCACTCCAGCCTGGGCAATAAGAGTGAAACTCTTGTCTCAAAAAAAAAAGAAAGAAATAAAAAAGAATATTCCAGCAAAGTCTAGAGCAAGAAGAAAAGAAAAGAAAAGAAAAGAAAAAAGGAAGGAAGGGAGGGACAGAGGGAGGGAGGGGCAGGCAGGCAGGCAGACAGGAGGGAGGGAGGGAGGGAGGGAAGGGAGGGAAAGGAGAAAGAAAGAAAAGGAGATAATTTGTTTACTATTTGGTAAGTTCAGGCAGATAAACCAGAAATCCTTGATCTACAGAAATCCTGATTTTGACATGATTTTTTTGGTCTGGTCTGCCACTTCCACTGCAGAGCTGCCACCTGTCCCATGTCATGGGGAGTGAAGTACATGTAAAGGGGCTTGGCCTTTTTGCCCTCCCTGGTCACTGGAAAATTGAAGATGTGCAAATAGAGTTGAAATCTTTACTTTTTCCTTAACATGCACCTTTGATTTCTTTGCTCATTAAAATTTTCAATGTCCATTATCTCCATCAATTTATATGTATATCTCAGAAATGCCAGGCAGAACTCTCCTCTCCATGCCCCAGGCTGTCAGGAAAGCTAACTTTGACTGAGCCCTCTCTGTGTTGCTTAGTATTATGCTAAGTGCACTACAGGATCATCTCAAAGATGATCACTATTGTTTACTTAATTTTATAGACAAGGAAATAGAAGGAGTCAAGACAAGTCATACAGTTAGCAAGTTGTAAAGCTAGGATTCAACCCGGATTGTTTCCAAAGCCAGGGATATATACACATATGGTATCCAGTACCTCCAGAGGAGGACAGAGTGGCTATATCATCACATCTTCCCCAGAGAAATGCTGCAGGCTGCTGGTGATGAAAAACTCCCAACAGTCACAGACAACTCTGCCTCACAATGTGTTTTCATTATTTTTTCTATTTTTTTAAATGAGGTTTCACTGTGTTGCGCAGGCTGGGCTCAAGCTCCTGGGCTCAAGAAATCTTCCTGCCTCAGCTTCCTGAGTGGCTGGGACTACAGGCGTGCACCACCTCAACAGGCCCTGTTTTCATTATTAAAGTTGGTAAGCTTTAACTACCAATGTCATCAGCCCATTTTCTTCTTTCCTGCTCAAACAACATTCCCCCTACCTCAAGAACCCAGAAAAGAAAAGAAAAAAAAGTTTTCTATAAGTAATACATTAAAAACTGTCCCTTGGAATTTCAACCCAGGCCTCCAGAATGCCACAAACAAATACACAAAACCTTTATTCCCATTTCTTCAATTTCTTACTCAGACTTGAAAAATAAGTTATCTGAGAAAAGCGATTCCTCAGCTCTCAATGTAACGTACACCAGGTTTAGAGAAAGCATGGCGGTGACTGGTGGGTACCTTTCAAGACAGAAGGAAAAGTCAAAGGGTAAATGGCTTATTTCTCAGGCAGAGTCAAAAGGTCCCTACCTGCAGAACCACCTCATGACCCTACCTGGTGCCCTCTACCTCCACCTGCATCCTTAACCCCTTCCTTGCCTCCCAAGGCTTCTCTTAAAGTTGAACAAGGAAACTAAACATGACTGGAAACTGGTGACAGCATAAACCAACCTGGCCACATTTGAAAGCATATTTTCCCTGCTGATTAGAAGGCCTCACCAAGATGGAGAACCACTTTTCATCTGAGATGAGGGACTTCTACTTGTAAACAGCCTTTCTCTGTCTCTCATTCCCTTGCTCTCTTTCTCTCTCTCTCTCTCCGCTCCCCCCACCCCTGCCCTTTCACTCTTTCGCTTTTATTTTCTGATAAGTAACCTTCTTGAGAGTACTTCTATCTGCTAGTGGATACTCAGAGATAATACTATTCAATTCAAATCCTGCTTCCCAGAATAAGATTGTACAGCGAATCCAATTAAAGTATGTTTTCTCCCTATCTCATTTTAAAATAAATATTTAGTAATAAAATTAGGCCATGGCCAAGTGCGGAGGCTCACACCTATAATCCCAGCACTCTGGGAGGCCAAGAGGGGAAGATCACTTGAACCCAGGAGTTTGAGACCAGCCTGGGCAACATGACGAGACCCTGTCTCTATTTAAAAAAAAAAAATTAGGCCAGGTGCAGTGGTTCACATCTGTAGTCCCAGCACTTTCGGAGGCCGATGTGGGCAGATTGCTTGAGCCCAGGAGTTCAAGACCAGCCTGGGCAACATAACAAGGCCCCTTCTCTACAAAAAAATACAAAAATTAGCCAGGCATGGTGGCGTGCACCTGTAGTCCCAGTTCCTGGGGAGGCTGAGGTGGGAGGATCAGCTGAGCCTGGGGAGGTTGAGGTGGCATTTAGCCAGGACTGCTCCACTGCACTGCAGCCTGGGCACAGAGTCAGATGAAAGAAAAGAAAGAAAAGAAGGAAGGAAGGAAGGGAGGAAGGGAAGGGGAGGGGAGGGAAAGGAAGGGGAGGGGAGGGAAAGGAAGGGAAGGGAAGGGAGGGAAAGGAAA